GCCGAGCTCCGAACAAATCTGGACGCGGTAGAAGAAGTTCGAGACCGAGCGTTGGTAGTGGCCGAGGCCACCAAACAACGATACAAGAGAAGGTTCGACAGCAAGGTAAAGCCTAGAGAATTTCGAGAAGGAGATCTCGTTTGGAGAGCCACAGGCGAAGCAAGAAAAGACCCGAGACAAGGGAAGCTCGCCCCAAACTGGGACGGGCCCTTCCGAGTCCGACACAACCTGAACAACGGAGCGTTCAAGCTGGAGCACCTGTCCGGAGAACCTATCCCAAGGACTTGGAATTCCATTCACCTAAAGATGTATTACAACTAATGTACTAGTGCACTCTTTTCCTTAACCGACTCTTTTTTCCCTAAGGAGGGTTTTGGGTCGACAAGGTTTTTAACGAGACACTTCATTAATGCAAAAACTTGAAAATCATTTCCCTCCTTATTTAATATTATGCATACATATAGGTCATGATTATGCAGGTCTGATCTCGGTTAACTCGTATTGGCGCCGAGCAACCCTCGGCCGACCACTCCAAAAGTGCCCTCGAGTTCAACAGGTTTCCCTCCCGAGTACCCTCCTCGGCTAAGGATGTACCTAGGCCGAACATTACTCTCACGCACCGACGCCGAGCATCCCTCGGCCGACCACTCCAACGTACAATCGAGCCTAACAGGTTTCCCTCCCGAGTACCCTCCTCGGCTAAGGATGTACCTAGGCTGAGTACTACTCCCGTGTACCCACGCCGAGCATCCCTCGGCCGACCACTCCAACGTACAATCGAGCCTAATAGGTTTCCCTCCCGAGTACCCTCCTCGGCTAAGGATGTACCTGGGCCGAGTACTCTGCACAAACACCTCCGTCGCCGAGCTACACCAGGCCGACCACTCGTTTATACACCCGCGCCTAACAGGTCCCCTCCCGAGCACTCCCCTCGGTTAAGGATGTACCTAGGCCGAACACTACGTGTTCCCACGACGAAGTCACAAACGATGCAATCGTGCCCAACAGTTTTCCCTACCAACTACCCACTCGGCCGAACACTTCGACGCGCACGCAGGCCCGACAGGTCTTACTCCCGAAACCGACTGGTCCGAATAACAAAATAAATTTCAAACCATGTCAAGGCCAAAGTATTGTAACCCGAATACTCATAAGCGAAACATTAACGGCTTACGTTTAAACACACAACTCATCCACATCGGTCATAGTGAAGTCGGTTTATATTAGTGGTAACTTGGTTAAATTAAAGCAAGGAAATGTAAGCAAGACAAACTTCAAAGTTTCATTAATCATGGCCGATCAAAACGGCTACTTACAAAAATAGTCAGTCTATACACCGACACTAGAGGTCGGGCTTACAAAAGGCGCCAACGGCCCAGGTACAGAATGAAAAGGCAAAAAAGATCAACCCTAGCCTACCTTATACAGCAGCCGACCCTGGCGGGTCCTCGCCACCCACCACATCTATAACCGGGTCCTCTTCCTCGGTCTGTTGCACCGGAGCCCGGCCAAACTCAGCTTTCCGAGGAGCTTCGACATCAGGTTGAACCCCTTGGGGGAACTCGGCAAAGCTGATAAACTTGCCATTCAAGAAATCCCGGCTAACGTCAAATTGAAAATCAGCCGGGACATCACAGAACTGATAAGCTTGCCGGACAGCATGGTTGAAACCGGCGTCGTGCTGGTAGAGGATCTGCTCGGTGGCTTCGGCCTCGAACTTGGCGGCTTCCTCCTTTAGCCGATTGATCTCACCAGCAGCGGCGGCAGACTCGACCTTCATCTTCTGCATAGCCAACTTTAGGTCGTCGGCTTCCCTACGATAGGCATCAGCCGCTTTCTTCAGCTCCTCAGCCGACTCTGTGGCCTTGGCGTTGGCACTCAGAGCATCCTTCACTGTATTCTCGGCATCCTTCAAGTGTGCTTGAAGCCTCTCGGCCGAGACCGCCGATCTCATCATGACATGCTTTGCCACAAGAGAAGTCCGAGCATCAAGCTCACAGAAGAGCTTGTATTCGGCCTCAGCGGACATTCCCTCCAAATATTGAAGTCCTCCGCCAGTGGTAAGGTCGAGACTGACCAAATTCTCGACCTGAACTCCCGATGCCAAGAAGTTAGACCCGGCCACAACGGCCGGAATGGCGAAGGCACCGCACCCTGCTTGCTCCAAAGATAATTGTTTGGGGTGCTTGGAGGAGGAGCTCGGCCTTTCCGACTCAATATTCTGTTCCGCAGCCCGCGCTCGAGACATGTTCCCCTTTTTCTTGGGGTCGGCCACAGGAACCAGCACATGAGCAGGTTTATCCTGTTGCACTTTAAGGGCCGACCGTGCCGGTGGCACCTTCCCGCTCTCCTTGGTCTCCTTCGCCCTCTTGGCGAGCATTGCGGTCACGTCCAGTTTACCCCCAGCCATTAACCCTGCAACAACACAAATCTTAACATCAATTCAAAACTGCTAAACAACCGAAACTTGAAAACACATACCTAGCAGAGCCATCTCGAAATGAGATGTTTCAAAAATATCCAAAAGGCCTCGGACAGGCAGGCCCTTCGGTAACTGATCCAGTAGGTCCACGATCTCCTTGTCCTCGTCGGGAAGTCCGGACACGGAAAATGCCTCGTAACGAGTCGGACGCTTCGTCCAATAGAAGGGAAACAATGGGTCGCCCTCACGGTCATAAAAACCATTTTTTAACTCCGGCCCCCAACGAACCTTGAAAAACCCACTCTTAAACCCTTTGTACGAAGAAGTGAAGGCCCGAAGAAACCCTCGCTTCGGCACCCGAGACAGAGACACCCACTTCACCGGCTTGCTCGGTCGACATGTATAATAATACAGAAAGGCGAGGGGTCGGGGAGTGAAACCCAAGCATAAACAGAGATTCCAAAACGCCTGCATCGCGGCCCAGGCATTCGGATGCAACTGAGTCGGGGCAACATTGAGTACTCGGAGAACCCCCATCTGAAAATCGTCAAAGGGCAGCTCGACACCGAGATCAGTAAACCAACACATGTAGGCGTAAAAGTAGTCGTCATCATTCTCCCCTCGTTCCAAAAACACAAAGTCGGCCTCCGACCCATCGTCCACGCAGGCCTCGGCTAGTAGGGGAAACTGGTCTTCCCCACTCCCAAAACAATTTTCCAAAGACACAAACGTGTCCAACAACCCTTGGTCCGACAGCTGAGAAAAATAAACGCCGACCTCACCGTCAACCCATTCATAGCCAGGCATCTCCAAAGTCCCGTAGTCGATCCGCGCCCTAGCCCGAGTAGTTGAACCAATAGCGCCTTTACCTCGCGCGTCCCCGACTACTTCTACTCCATCCCCGCTAGAACCGACTCGCAACGCAACCTGCGATGTTGGCTGACCGACGCGACCCACACCCCGTTCGCCCACTTCGACTGCCCGAGCCAAAGCCACGGCCAACGTGGTCGGAGACAACACCTCGACCACATCATCCCCACTATCCTCTGGTCCGGGGTGGTCGGAAGGAAAGACCACCTCGCATTGCAACGGGGGCAACCTGGATATTTCGCTGGAAGTCGATCCCTCTCCATCTGACGAAGCGCCCGACCCCTCCGAAGACGTCCAATTCCTGGCAGATTCATAACCCCTATCCATTTATTGCCAAAATAAAAGAATACAAAATTTACCTTTCTCGGTTTGCTCGGAAGAATCTTGATATCGAGAGAGCTCGGAAAATTTACAGCGCGTAAATTTTCACTCCCAACCTCCCTATTTATAGGCAAGGTAAACGGGAGGAGGTGAAAAGACGCCCCCAAGCCACGACCGTTCGATCGCCATCATTCAACGGCCCAGATCTCACAACCTTTGAAATGATAACCGTTAGGGCTAACGTGGCAAGTCACATCCTGCAACACCTCCCCACGAACACTGATCACGCCTCGGTACAAGACTCAAGCAAAACTGGGGCCTCGGTTTAATCCAAGGTAGGCTTCAACTCAGCCTAAGCCACTCAGGCACTCGGCCAAAAATCAACAACTCGGCCACAATTCGGCCCAAACATCACTCGGCCCAAACTCAACAACTCGACCACCAATCGGTCCAAACACCATTCGGCCCATACTCCACCGACCAATAGTAATTCCAAAACCGGCTAAACCTATTCCCAGACCCCTTCTAGGTCGAACGCCGAGAACCACCACTACACACATTCTTAACTTCTTCGTCTCTGCGATCCTCGACGCTGTGGGGGCTGTGTACCGTATGAGGCCGAACGGTCCGAACACCCGACCACGTAACCGAGTGGTCTGAACACATTCACCCAAACCCGAATGAACCGAAGCCCGAGCATGCCGACTACTCATAAAAGGGAACAAGTCGGTATGTTCGGCTCAGGCACCAATCTTCGCTAGGATGATTATGGAGAAATTAATTTGCATAATATCTCGGTTTAACCCCCTAATTATCCGGGGCCCAGTCCCTAATCACGGCCCAACAAGAAACACTATAAATAGACCCCCTGTGAGGTACGTATCCAACTTTCAACTACCGCATTTATTACGCCGAGCACTTACTTGAGCGTTGGAGTGTCTTTGCAGGCTCACCCCCCTCACATCGGACTACCCGGATAGGAACAGTACCCTTCCTTTTCCTACGGGCTACGGGGTCCGTATGTAAGTTGGGGCATGGCCCCATGTTAAACAAATAATGATAATAACAACATGAACAAGCTAGTTGGCAGACACGTATTCATAACTGTCATCTACCATAATTTTGCTGACCATTTCATCATATAGGAGAAACAGATGCCACAATTAATGAGTTACACTTTTCAAGGTTTGGACATTTAATTACACTCGACAAGTTGCGCAAAAAACCATCTCCTTATTTACTTTGACAGTACCTGTACATTGGATTCTTAAGCAACAAAAGATAGAGTTTAAAGTGTAAAACTTTCATGGTCAAACAACTAAAACCAATTCATTCGTAAATACGTACAATAAATTTATTATACTCCTATATTATAATTTGAAATCAGTTACATGGCCGGTACATACATTATTTTCTCAAAAATAAAACAGAAAAGGTAAGAGTACAATACAAAGAGACGAAAAGTAAAGAGAATTTATTTGAATTTCAAGAGGAACTTTATATTGAAGAATTAGCCATCTGGTCAACACCAATATCCAAGAAGGACTGCATGACATGCATGTATGTAGGTTAATTTACAAATACCCAACAAATTAAGAAAGTTAATTAGAAATTTAGAATAGAGTTGAAACAAACAGTTACTACTTAAGGGAGTATAGTTTCACTCCAGAACTCCAGAGATTGCAGATGATGACGACTTTGAGTATCGTTCAAGCAATGATAGTACCTTGGCAGCTTTTTTCCTGAGGTGGCCATCTCCATATATATTCATGCCAGTCAAACCAATTAGACGTGATCTAGCTGTTGTTCCATGGTATTCAACCATTTCCTTTGACACAAACACCTTCTCCAATAGTCCTAGAGCTTCTGCTTTGAGAGAATCAGTTCCCCAGTTCAAAATGTCCAATATGGATCTTATTGCATTTGAATCATGCAAAACACGAGCTCCTCTTTGAGGAAAGTCTTCCAAAACCAACGTGGAAAGTGTTTGTATTGCTTCATAAGCAGTTGCATGAACCTCCCCATGCAACAACTTTATCAAGCCAGGTAAAGCCTTTGCTTCCAAGAGACAAAACGTGGTGTTGGCACTGCATACACTCCCATGTGCTGGACACAAAGGAACACGAGATGATCTGAAAAGCCAGCAACCAGTTGGTTTGGGAACAACTGTGAGCTTTGGAGTGCTCATGGAAAGATCACCAATGAATGCTGCTGCTCTTGCTTTTGCTGTGACCGAGCCAGTGTTGAGAAAATTCACAAGCAAAGGATAAATCCCTCGTTTAACCAAATCTCGCTGTGACTCAATGTTTGTAGGGTCTGTGAACCTGAAGAGTGCACTGAGAGCATTTTCTTTTGCTTCCATTTTGCCAGTTTTCAAAATGCTTATGATTGCATCAAGTCCTCCCAGCTCAATCAACTTCATAGTGAGTTCTCGTTCTGATTTTGGCAGGTTAGCAAGTAAACCAGCAGCAGCCATCTGCACATTATCATTTTCTTCATTCTCAAGAAATCCAATCAAGGCTTCCAGCCTTCTAGGCCTGAAGAGGTATTCAACTACTCCTTCTGGCTCATGTTGCGAGAAAAGAAAGAGAAGAATTATGGAAGTCTCCCTGATCTCTGAGTCAGAGTCATCAAGAAGTGGAAGAATTAGAGATACACCATTGGCTGCTAGAATTGCTTTCTTAACCAAACCAGTCTCAAACTTGCAAATGCCAAGAAGTGCACGCAGTGCATGCTTACGGATGTTGTGATCATGGTGGGAAATCTGCTGCAAAGCTAGCAAATTGGTGATGATAGAATCTAACTCAAGTTCTTTGCCTTCTCCATCAACAAAGAAATCAATTCCATTACCATCTGAAGAAAGCTTCTCAATGATTTCAGAGCATTTGATGATAATGAATGTCAGTGGCCGAGGAGAGAACATTAAATCTAGAATAAGAGGAACTCCTCCAGATGCTGCGATTATTCCCTTATTGGCATGAGATCCTGCTAATTTAACCAGGGCTGACAATGACAAGTCTTTTGATTCAATACTGCCCGACAGCATTTCTAGCAAAGGAGGTATAACTCCTTCCTTGCCAAGGAGTTTCATGTTTAAATCACTCAACTCCAAATTAACTATTGCTTTTGCCATTGAAATTCTTGAATCCGGTCCTGGGAAGATAAAGAAGAACAAATAACTCATTATGATCAACTTAGTAGTTACTATACAGAGTGAACTTTCTGACTCGAGAATTGTAATAAGTCAAGACCGACTGCTTGATTTGGTATCAGTGCAACAAATAATTATAACTATAGGATACAAAGTAAAGGAAAAAGACTCTCCTAATCTGACTATGTCCACAACAAAATATATGAATTATGTGCACCATAAATGTAAGAAAGTATATGAACATTTACCATGTGATTTTGAGCAAGTCAATTTTTAAATGGAGCATGCATTACTTGAAATTTTTCATCGGCATTGCAAGAACAAGGAGGTATTTTTTTACTGAGTTTTTCTCCAAAGCTGGGAAGTGTCATCGAGAGAGAACATGGAATGGGAAGAGATTCTAAATTCGTTTCCTAAGAAACAATGATATTTACAAACTATTTTATTAATAAGCATCCATTTCATGTTTCTAACAAAGGAACTTAAAGTGTACTAGTTAACAACATAGGATAATTGTGTATTTCCTTAGCTAGCTAGATGACATGGCATCCTTGTCTTCTGCCATTGCAGTGCCAATTGCGTAAGCAATATAATGAGAAATATTTATGTTATCATAATAAACATGTTACAACTTGAAAATAATCCATCGTCTTACCTTGAATCATGCGATCAACAAGTGGTTTATACCAGCCAAGATTAGCAGCAATAGTAATGCTTTCCTCATTTAGTTCAAAAACCATCATCAAAATCTTTTCTGCTACCTCAGAAGAGGGGTTGATAGAATTCTTTAGAAGGGAAACAAGGGACCAAATTGCAGTGCGATTTTCAGAAAGCTTTTTGCAGAGACATTGATTCCAACCAGATTGTTCTTGAAGCAACTCATATAGCAAATTAATTGCTGCCTTTGAAATGCTAGAGTCACTCCCTAAGCAAGAAATAATGTGATCCCATCCTTGAGATTCAGCCACTTTCTCCTATAAAATTTCATGCAAATATTAGAGTTCAACTTGATCTTGAGGTTAAACATTTGATATGTGTGCTGTGGGTGTAGCCATAAAAAGGAATCCAGACTATCTCAATGGTAAAACTAGTCCACTTCCCATTCAGGAAAGGAGAGAAACTTCAACACAGAAAGTGGTAAAATGAAATCAGTGAGCCATAATGAGAAACATATAACCTTTTAAAAATTATCATGTTCAAAATGATACAAGCAACAGCATAATCAAGAAAAATACTTTTTCACGTTTGTTGTACCTATGCTTCTCCCATTTGTCCCTCTAAATCATAAAATGCAAATCCACAAGGAACTTTATTTTTTGACTGAAGCAAGAAAAAGAAACAGCTTGCCTACCTTATTTCTTGTATTCCCCTCTACAGCATCCTTCAAAGTTATCAAAATCTTCATCTTCACTTCTCTGTCATCAGATCTCCCAAGGATAGAGATAACATTATCAGTAAGCTCTCCTATAGAAATCCAATCCTTGTTAATAGAATTCTCTCTTACTAGAGCCTGCATTTGGCTCAGGGATTCTTGCAGGTCAGAATTTGATAATAAATTTTCCCTGATAGACCTAATTATCAGACAGTAATTAAGTTCTCTCCACTCTTCAATGGATTGTCTTAAAGGAATGTTAGACCTCAAGGTAGTATCTTCAAGATCCTCTTTAGTTTCTGGGTCTGTCCTGTTGCCATCATAAAACCAAGCTTCAATAGCAGATCTCTCACAAGTAGTACCAGTGCAAAGGCTGACAGGATCTTCCATAACAGCTCCAGTTATCGAACAAAGGAAAGGATTGAGTGGGGGGATATACTTTTCCCTTGAATCATATCTCTCTATCACCTTAACCCTTTCAAAGTATTGCCTCTCCACTTCTTCATAATCCCTTGCTGCATCAGCTCTAGAGAGTAACTGAATGATCTGCTCCAAAAAAACACATTCAGCTCTTTCTTTCCTTTGGGCAGCTTCTTCTTTTTCCTTCCTAATGCTATCAAGCTCTTTGCTTATCTCTGAGGGTTCCACTGGAACCCCAACTGCCCTTGCTATCTCCTCTACCATGTAATTTGCAAAAGCCTGATCTAGTTTCTGTTCTCTGAGTCCCTCGTTCAACTTGTCAACAATTTGAATTTGAGATTGTGAAGCCTCAAACTCCACCCTTTGCATCTCATTTTGTAGTCTATTGACCTGATCAGAAATTCTTGATAGGACTTCAGTATTTGCAATAGACAATGCAGCCAGAGACTTTCCAATATCCCTGGTGACTTGTTCAACCTCCTTAACTATGGATCGGCACTTAACTAGCAAGTAAAAACGGCCACGGTTCTTATACTTCTCCACCAAATTATTTGCTTCCTTAACATCTGCTTCAAGAGAGTCCAGAGCAACTCTTGCGGCTTGAGAGTCGTTCAATTCTTGAAGTTGTAATTCCTTTAGCACTGGCTCAATATCTAATAGATGTTTTGAAAGAGCCTTGAAACTTTCTTTACCAATAAGAACATCAGATGCTGCGGAAGCTGTTTTCAAGACTTGGTTAGTTACCACTGTCAAAATTGTACCTATGGGTATGAGTTCCAATCCTGCCATAGTGAAAAGTCTATGGCCAAATTTTCTACTCAGACAGTGTAAACTGAACTCTTTCTATTTCCTGGAAGTTGAAACTATTGAACCTGCAAATTGCTTCTCTTTTTCCTTGGAATCGAATTCTTCTAAATCAATCCTCTTATAAAGCATAAAAAATTCTGCACTAATTCCAGAACAGACAATTTAACACAGAAGAAATAGATATTGACTAAATGAATATGAATTCTACTGTCTAAAGAATTCCATATGCAATAAACACCATGCTCAGTATATTAAAAATATATGATTTTAACTCGTAATATTGAGGTTTTGGGTATTTTTACTGATAGCTTGGAAAATAAAAGATGAATTAATATATTCAATTCAAACTTTTACAGGTGGTGTTGATTGAAAATAGTAATTCGTGCATACAACAACAGAGGCAACGAATTCTTATCCCATCTGATGGAAGATACAGAATATAAATCACTAGTACATTGCTGGGTACATAATTCATAATATTGGGCAACATTGTCCATAAATGTTTCTTCCTTTCTGGTAAGGGAAATAATCAAACAAGCAAGTTGTGAAAGAGAGATCAAATGCTACAGTAAGGAAATCCTTTAATGGAGAAGCAAGTTATCAAGATAAGCAAACAATCTGACAAAAATTACAAGACCGTGCCAATACCAAGATACAAGCTGCCAACATATGCTACAAAAATTAAGGAGTAGAGTGGACTTTCAGAATATCTTGTTATTAGGATGAAATCTATTTCAGCATAACTTCCATGGTTTTATCTTTCTTTCTTCTACATAAAAACTGATGCATCCCTGATGTAAAATTATAATTCTAAGATGAAGAATTCCATTGCTCTCAAAATTTCCTCGTTTACTTTTCACATAGTATTATTCTCTAATTTCACTTTTTTGAGTACCCAAAAAGTCAAAATTCAAGAAGAGCAAACTAAAAATTGTACTTGAGCTGCAGCAACCATAATTCTAAGTTTCTAACATGCTGAGGACAATGGCGTCTATCTTTCAAGATGCACAAATAAAACGGAAGATTATAAAAGGCTAAAAGAATACCTCACAGAAGCTGCAAACTAGTGTCAGAACTCAAAACTGAGAAACAAAGTTGATTGTTACTGCTTTCCTTTTATTGGCACAGAAGATACATGGGGAGAGAGGAGTTGAGCAAGTCAATGGTTTGAGGAAGATACCAAGAAAGTTGCATTTTCATGTAATTCTGTGTTTCAAAAACATTAAACATGGTTTGGAAAGTTGCGTACAGAGGTACGGAGCAATGAGTGACACATTTTCTCTTGCAGTAGATTTTGTTTTCCTCGATAGTTAGCTCGTTTAATACGCTTAGCTACGTTAAATGCGGTCCAGAGAACGCGGTTAGTTGATCTGGTCGTGTGACTAACGTTGAATGGAGTTGACCTTTAATCTAAGTCTGCACTGTAAATTTCGTATGAAAGATGGTTCAAACACCAAAATCTGTCATAGGCCCACTACTTTGTTTTCAACATTTGCTTTTCCAATTCGTTGGATAGAGGCCCAATTCGGTGGCCTTTTTGGATTCAAGTGTTTCTTTTCAGGCCACACCCCGTTCTCGTGGCCCAGCTTTTGGACTCAAATGTTCTTTCCAAAAAAAAGTTTTAGAGCTACGTCTCTACTAATATCAACTTTCCCAATTTCTCACTTTCCAAAATAATAAAGAAGTATTGTTTTCAGCAACAAATAAATAAAGAAAAAATAATGACAATCTTAGCCTCTATCACTTCAAAAGAAGAATAAAAAAAAACGAAATATGGCCATAATTGAAAACAACATTTCATCAGATCCCAACAATTATCTACAAGATAATGAAGATGGTTGCTATGAACTATTATTTGATTGATCAAAAGCAACAAATACTGAAGTTTAAATTTATATTTAGAAAATAATATCACATAAAAAGAATTCATGCTTCAGCTCAATCAAACTCATTATCATATCACATGACCATAAAGGAGATAAAACTTTCAATTTGTCGAGAGTCTGCAAAGAATATCGCATGAAAAAATCTTATGATTTACACATTTGTCTAAAAGCTTTAAATATAATATTATCTTACCATCCTCTCTATATCAATGCAATATTTTATAAGTATAATAATTCTGATGTAATATATTTTATTCAATAAGTATAGTAATCTGTGTTGTAGTTATTTGCTTGAATCGAATTAATCATTGGAAATTGCCTCCAAGTTTTCTTCCTGCTTTTGTAAGCTTTTCATCTGGAATTTTTATTGTAGAATTTTATTTTAAATCAATATTTTCATTGAGCTTAATATTTAGGCACTATTAATGTAAAAATTTACACTATTATCTTAAAAATTACGGAAAATATATCTTTTAAGATAATTATTGTAAAAACAAACCTATGTTAATTTGTAATTGAATGTTAAAGTAAAGTCTTTACATTGTTAATACATATAAAAAGTATAAGCTGTTTACTCATTCTCAATATATTATTATAATAAATTAATTCATAAGATATTTATAATTCTGTCAAATTTATTTACTTAAATTCCAGCTAATACCACTATATTGAAAGAAATAATATAACACGAGGAGATCCTAAAGAACATTGATTGTCACGCAGTTCCATGATGCTGCATGCCTATTTTGTTTGCGTGTGTGGCATTTGTAGCTGAACCCACTTTACGCTACAACTAATCAAAATGTTCCTTCTGCAACAAAACAATGAATTGCTCGTCTTATTGTCCATAGTTAAGCTGAAGAATTGTATTATTGAGCAGTGAGAAGTGACATCAGACGTGACATAACATATAATATCTATTACTCTCATTCCACTGCCCATGCCCATCAAATAACATCTTCTTAGTGGTCCAATTTCACATGAACGTCCAATCATTCCAACCATTAAAGCAACAAAGCACAAAGCTCATCACCCTTCACATTTACGTTCTTTTTTTAAAAAAATCTAGCATATGGAGTATATAGCAAAAAGAAGTCACTTTTTTTAATCAAGATATTTTTGCTTTCATGACGAGGTGACTGCTTCAAAAATGATCACTCTCCATGAAAGAGAACATTTCACCGTGTTGAAACAGTTAATTACATGCTGTAAGTCATTTTCCCACTTTAATTTAGTATGTGTTTCGATGGATATTTATAGCATTACATGAACTTCATTTTATAAAATCATTTTTAATTAAATTTTAGAATATAGAGAGTAATTTATTTTAAAATAAGTATTCTAAAACAATTTATAATACAATTTAAGACAAAAAGATTTATTGAAACATAAAATCATCCTTTTAAGTATACAATTATGAATTTGATTTATAGTTTATGTATGGAAAAACATTTGTTATAAAAGTTCAATCTTTTAAATTGGCATCAGTATCGAGAGAAATTTCTTTAACTTTTGGTTAGGTGATTTCTTAGTTTATTAAAATAACAATAATAATTTTGTATAACAATTTTTTTTCTATATTTATTTCCCATTTTTCACAAGGGAGAAGGTGAATTTTTTACATAAATAATATTTTTTTTAAAAAAAATTACAAAAGTAACATCTGTGCAACTTTATTTACTCAACTAGAACCAATCACTGTTCATGCTCAGAATTCGGTTCCCCGGGAACCGAATTCTGAGCTTCAATATATATATATTTTTTTGTTATCAGAATTCGGTTTCCGGGAAACCGAATTCTGAGTTGTTTTAATTTTTTTTTTTTTGCGTTTGAAGCCTAGTTTGGGCGAATCTGAGAAGTGGAACGGGCCGTTCCGGAAGCAGAACGGCCCGTTCTACTTAAACACATAGAGTGTTATTTTTGAAATTGGAACGGGTGCAGAACGCGCCGTTTCAATTTCAAAAATAACACTCTATTTGTTTAAGCAGAACGAGCTGTTCTGCTTCCGGAACGGCTCATTCCACTTCTCAGCTTCGTCCAAACTGGGCCACAAACGCAAAAAAAATTAAAATAGCTCAGAATTTGGTTTCCCGAAAATCGAATTCTGAGCACAAAAAAAAATTGAAGCTCAGAATTCAGTTTCCGAAGAACCGAATTCTGAGCATGAACAGTGATTGGTTCTAGTTGAGTAAATAAAGTTACACAGATGTTACTTTTGTAATTTTTTTTAAAAAATATTTTATGTAAAAAATTCGGAAGAAGGTACCCAACATTTTTTTCCCTTATTTAAATATATTATTTTACCACTACAAACTCTCCTAATCCATGTATTAATATTAAATTTGCAAATGCTCATAAAAATGTTGATAATAGTTGGAAACAACTTTTAAAAGAAGTGGAACATTAGGTACCGTACATATGTTTTGGTATTTGGTGAAATAAGTGGAGCATTAATTTAGCGAACAATAGGACGGAAGTGGTACTAAGTATTAACTTCTCCTTCTTTTAGTTTTATTTTTTTATATTTACATAATGAAAACTAGAAACTCTAAAGAAATAAATAACTGAAAATTCAGTTATCAAAGGAAATATAGTCCAGAAAGGCGAATCTTGAAAGACATGCACAACAATAATGAATTCAAATTAATGCTTAAAAATAAATTGCTTTTATATTTAATATCACACTGTTTATTTCACATACATAATTAAATGAATATACTATTTATAATAAATTGAATTTGAATAACTTAAAAAAAAAAAAATATCACATTCGAAATTCAAATTTTAAACAAAACACCCAATTATTGTAAAATTAAAGAAATGTAAGATTGTAAACTTTGATTAAAAAAATCAAAATGGGAAAAGTTTTGGCAGATTTATATTCTATTTAGAATTTTTAATATAAAATATATTTTGAAATAAATTATCATCTAAAATATTATATTAGATATTAAAAATATGTTTATATTATAAATAAATTAAACTTGATTTTGTTACAATTTAACATATTAATTTTTATGTTTTTATTAGTATTAAATTATTACAAAATATATTTTTAGGATTGTAATTCTAATCAAACATTTAAAAAAATGTCTAGATAAATAAGTCATATTTAGGACATATATTTTAAAAAAATGTTAAGTTCAAACCTACTAAATTATAATATAATATAGTCTGACTTAACTTATTTTCATCATTAATCATAAGCATAGATATAAAAGCTTGTAAAAAATAATTACAATATATATTTATACCTTTAAAAATTACATGTAAAATTTGCAGTACTATAAATATATAAATAATTATTGTCCTCACTATCTACAATTTATGGATCCGTCACTATTCTTAACCGGCAATAAATCTTTAGAGATGAGTCGCATACATATAAAACACAAAGGACACATGAAATCATATACAATATTAGTCGAAGTCCATTTTATGTGAATTAATATACAAAAATTTCCAGGAGTTCATCAATAGTTACCACAAAACAAGTTTCGTGCATATAGACATTTAGCTGAATAAAATGAATAACACATATATTGATTATAGAAATCATATCCTTTATTTTCAACAATGGTAGAATTATAATGCATAAGGATTATGCTGAGTGACTGAAATATTACACTATATACACTAAAACTAAACTAAACTTATTCTAAGAAGAAAGAAGAAAGATGGTCAAGAAACCATACAACAGTCTCATACATAGGAGCCATATGCGCGGGCAAAAAGTGTTGTGAGATTTCGTAAGTACAATGTTTCTAACCTCTTGAAACGAGTCTGTCTTGCTTATTTATAGATGATGGGTAGGAGCAGTTACTTTTGTATTAAATCTGATGTGGTATGTGTAACTGCCCCATATTACAAGACGTGGGTAACCTGTCTTAACTGTTCTTAACTTCTCGCGACTGCCCAGTACACTCTTCGATCCTTGGATAATTTTTTCAAGATTCCCACTTTAAATTTCGAGAAACAATTAATATTTATCAACTCCTTATGCTTTGTAACTGCCTCATCGTTCATGCATTTGTGAGTAACCTCCTTTAACCACCCATAACTGCTTGTAACTACCTTTCTTCAATTTGTCGAACTATAGAATCTTTCGATTTCTTCTAGATTTTCCAATTCTATCCCAACACATACAATGGA